AATTAATAATTTCAGTACTTAGTACTAATAAAGGGTGTGGCCAAAACAGATACAATCCTAGGGGGAAGGAATTAATTTTCAAAATATTTTCAAAGAAGTTAGGACAATTTTGCAATTTGCATCAATGGTATTTTAAATGTTTATACTTTTAGCACATTTCCAGGGATAAATCCAAAGTCCAGAAAATCTGAAGCATGAAAAAAATTTTAGAAACCAGATTTCATTGCAGCTTTATAATATTGAAAAAAAATTGAAACAACCTTAATGTCCACCAGTAGGTCAATAGAGCTATTATTCCAAATATTTAAGAACTGTAAACCTGCCACAACCATGCTAGTTTACCTGTTGCAATAGTAAACCGCATTATTGGGATCCAACTCTATCGCCTGTGTGTAACAATCCACTGCAGCAGCATAATTTTCTTCTTTCATGTGGTTATTACCTAAAATGAAGTAACCAATGTAGACCATAAGTACAATATATAGAAAAAATACAAAGTCTAACATAAACTTTAATCGTAGAAACTACAATAATATGAAGGTTGGCCTCATGATTTTTCAGTCACACTGGAGATAAATTTTATTTTGTACTAGAGAGTCGATATTCTTTAGCTCACAGTGTGTTTGAATCATTTTAACAATCCCGAGTCTTAACAAATTAATGTTTGTATACCTTACAAAATCCAGTCTTAAGTGAGTAAATGCAACAGTTATCACTATCTCATGGCAAAAGTGAATCTCTTCTCACCTTCCTTATCTTCATCTCTCTCCTCCCTTTTAGAGCTGCCCCAGCCTGTTCCAGATGCAACACCCTCCCTAATCACCATCTCAATCTGGACCTGGTCTTCCACTCCTTCCCTGTCAAAACACACATCTGCTAAATAATCAAGCTCTCAGAACTCTGCCATGGGTAAGCTGGTAAAACTAATCATGATAACATATTATTGGCAGATAATATTTTTATGTGTTATCCCTTCCAGGGATAGATTCTTTTTAAAAGGGGATTTGGGGGAGATTAATTTCTAGAAAGACAGGATTTCAGATAGCATGGCTAGTCTACAAAGTACTAATTTTCAGGAAGGACATCCGCAGATACATCTGGCAATAATTTAGCTAGGTAAAACAACTGGTCAGCAAAATAAGGGATTTTCTGTGGCTATCTTTTGTATTCCATTAAATGAAAAAAAAAAGCGTCCTGTGCACTTATAAGAACATTCAAAACTGAAAATATTAGAACAATTGAGATTAGGAGGAAGGATTCACATCTCAAAGACCTCTATAATTCCTTCCAGCTTTCTCTAAACCAGAAGCTCTCCTATTGGCCTTGTTCTTAGTAGATCATTAGCTACATAATGGGAGGAAAGGAGTGTAAATTTGTAGGGAACAAAAACAGGAAGATTAAAAGAAAGGGAGGTAGATAAAAGCATCTAAAATCATACAAAAATTACTGCAAATTGGGAATCAGAAACGAATATAAACAGTAACTGCCAATGGGTCCATGGTTTCTTTTGGGGTCTATAAAATATTTCATAATTGATTATGGTGATGACTTCACAACTCGATGAATATACTAGAAACAATGAATTGCACACTTTAAAGGAGTAAATTGGGCCAGGGGTGTTGGCTCACGCCTGCAATCCTAGCACTCTGGGAGGCCTAGGCTGGCGAATCATTTGAGCTCAGGAGTTTGAGACCAGCCTGAGCAAGAGTGAGACCC